TAATTAAAGGAGAACTGGATGTTTTTTTCGTTTCGCGATAGAGTTTTTTTCTTCCTCTCGCAATCCGTCGTGTCAGCGCGCGAACACGCGCGATACCTCTCGCCGGATATGTAATTTTCGCTCCTTCGCGAAATGAGATGTTCACGCGAATCGGTTCGCCAAAATGGCGTTCGCTTCAACGCGCCCCGGCTTCTATTCATCTGCGGGGAAACGAAATTCATCGCAGTGAAATCTGACTGCGCTTCCCCGGCGTGAATTTCATACGGATGTAAATTTATGTTAAAGCAATTTAGAAAATATATTCTTGGATGTACGCTGTTGCTTTTCGGCGGAATTTGAAATAATATCGAGAACGCATCTACCGGAACCTCAAAAATAATTTTTGTTGAATAAAGTTAACAAAATGGGTCACGCTTCGCGAAAACGTGCATGACTCTCCGGTTTCTTCAAAAGTTTTAAAACATAAAACAGTCGCGACAATAATATGTTATTGAGATCTTAGATCGGACTTTTTTATTCGAACGAATTAAATTTTTTTTTTTTAGAAAAACACATCAATAAAACGCAAAATTATTCGAGAAAGCGAATCGCAAGCAATTATGCTCGTCAATTTGAATTTCAGAAGTGCGTATTCTCTGAAAACGGTTTGTTTTCTCAGGTTTCTCTGTTCCCTCTATTTTCAATCGCTCGCGTGTGCCGACTGATCGAAGGACGAGAAACGTTCCCGACGAATTGCGCGCGATGATGCCAGTTGAACTGAAAGACAGAAAAGTATAATAGACAAAAATAAGGCATTCCTCCGCGCCGCGACATGCGCTACTTTTTAGAAGAATATACAGCGGGATCTTTTAGCTGGCATGTCTCACCTTTATCTCGATGAAAAATCGAAAGAACAAGTCGGATCAAAGGAGAAGAGAGAAAGAGGAATGTAAAAGGAAGAGAGGAAGGACGAGAGAGAGAGCGAGGCGCAGCAAGGCGGAGACGGAACGCCTTTGTAATCCTTGTAAATAACGCGCTTTGTATTAATTTATGGACGACGACCAGCCGAGTAACGTCGAGCCGAGGCGTCGTTACGATGATATACGCTTACAAGGGGTGTTATTTGGATTTCATTACGGTGCCGCAACCGATACCGCGCCGTCTCGATCCTTCGCTCCCTCTCTCCGCAAATCGTTCGTTATTCCGGAAGAATTCAAATGCGAGTAACCGGCGTTGCCGAGATGACAAAGCGGAACAGCTTTGTTTTTTGCCCGAACGCGGCGCGTACAAATTCGTCATCCGAGCGCCGCGCGAATTGATTTCGACACGGCCGGAAAATCTGTTAATCACGGTCACATCGTGCAATTTTCCGACACGATAAATACTTGATGACGTCGCGACGACCGCCGACGATTGCATCGATACGAAGAAAATATGGTCGCGCAGCGGTTTGATTTCCAAATTTAACCGCGCGGCTAAAATTCCGCGGATTTTTGCTTTTGTTTTATTTCATGTCTTTTGTTTCTCCCTTTTTCAAAATTTTGTAACAAAGAGCTCAAGAAAAATATCGTGTTTTTGCGCTGCAAAAGAGGGCCAAGAGGTTCGATATGTTTTATTGTCACTTAAATCCTCTTATCAACGGTCGACAGACAACGAGATAAAAAGGGTATAAAGCCTCGGACTTAATGATACCTGTCTGACGGTAGATTACTTTTACTACTAGCCGCGCTCGTTCTCACCGCCACGATTGGGCGATCCCCTTCGACTGCGGAGGTTTCTCAAGACCGTCTGGTGATTCCTAGAAACAGGTGCAGCCGTAGTTACTCTTTCTCTCTCTCTTTCTCTCTCTCTCTCTCTCGGTTTCTTTCTTCTTCTCATTCGTCTTTCGCTTTCTTTGCTCGCTTTCTCGCGCTTGCGGTTTTTTTTGCCATTTTCATTGCAAGTCTCTCTTCTTTCTCTCTTTCTCTGCTTCTCTCGCGTTCCACATTTCTTCTCATTTTCTCCACATGATCGTGTCTCTTCTCTGTTTCTTCTTCGCCCGCTCACCGCGAACGCTATTGGAGTTTACGGTTACGGTTAAGTAGAGAGCAAAGAGATCGTATCGTTTTCCGAACGATTTGGCTAATCGAGTGCCGCTGGCTCGGCAACCAACCTCCGTTTCTCTCCTCTCTCTCTCGCATCGTCCACCTCTCTGTCGTGGATCGCATTCGGACTGATACCAGGAAACTCCACGAATGAGTGTTTAAACCGCGATCTCGAAACTGGCACTTAGCGAAATCTGACGGTCACACGTTTTCCGTGAAATCTCGACATTTATAGCGTCACAATGACGAATTGTATTGAAGACACGATACTTATTGTAATATTAGCAAAATGATATATACGTGAACCGCATAAAACGGTCATTAAAGGATCTACGTGAAATTCGTTCATTTTCTTAATGTAATTATCTATGCAAAATAATAATTTAATTTCAATCATCTATTTCAATGTTATACTTAATGACTGAATATACATATATGTATGTATATATACATATATACATATATGCACATATATATATATTATATCGCGCAGCATAAAATATTTTCGCGATTGAATGTTTGAAATTTCATGTCTATTTAATCATTAAACATGTGGGATGTGCGAATATTTGAAATCTGTACACAAGCGCAGCGTGTGAAAAACTCAATGGTAGTTTGCTAATTCAACGAGAAACACAAAAATAAAAAAGAACCAAATTTTATTTTATTTTATTTTTTTTATTTTCTAATGAAAATGACTGTTATTTATCTCGACGATATTTCTCCGGGAATTATTTGCTTTCTCTCAGTGGACGTGAAACATTTATTCTATTTGCCCGAAAACACAAGTATGATTTAGATCTCTTCCTCCCTCCTTTTTTTCTTTCTAAAAAAATACATGCGCGAGACAGAATTAAATTCCAAGTCGAAAAAGTCGTCGTATATATTTGCGACAATTAAACTGTCGTCCCGCCGGCTTCTCGATTAGAGGCGGAAATTATCCCTATCGTTTCGTCGCCGCGGTGTGTACGTGTGTGCAAATATTCGGCCTCCCGTGATGTTCGATTAAAAAAAAAAAAAAAAAAGAGAAAAAATCCCGAAATAGAGTTCGCTCTTCGAACGGAGGTTAAACCAGTTCGGACAACCCGTGGACTCTCTCTTCTTTCCCGGTTGTGATAATAAGTGAACAGAGTCCGGTGGCTATTGCTTTCGATCGAGCGGCCAATCATCGGAAACCAATGTGGACGGAAGACGGGGCTGTTTTACCGCAACGGGTATTTTAAAGACGCGCGCAACGAGACGGGTCGACGACGGCGACATGGAAATTTGCCAAGCTTAAATGTCTGTTGGAAAATTGTTTCTGACGTTTCGCGCAGATTGTGTGTGTGTGTGTGTGTGCGCGCGCGCGCGCACGCGCAACCGGCTTCGCTACAAAAATATATTCTCGCTTTCCGCGAGGCGATATTAAAATACGCCCGCGCGTATACGTTTCACGTGCGTTAACATGAAGAATGCAATCGACGGTCCGTTGCTTTGTCGAACTACGCTCATATATCGCGCGCGCAAAAGGTTAAAGAGCGATGTGTAACCCATTTTCGCCACATTGACGCGCACGAGATCCACTACGGGAATTTAACTCCAAACCGTTTTCGACAATTTTACAGTTGTATTTGAATGACTGACGCAACAGTGAGGAAGAGCTTCAAGTTCGATTTTGATTAATTCTACTTTTCCCCGTAATTTTCACTTCAATAATCGCCACGTCCGAAGCGAGATAAATAAAGTTTTACATTTGTTTTATGTTTTTAACGATTAATATAAAATTTCGCAAAGAGAGAGAGAGAGAGAGAGAGAAATAAAATTTATTTTCGCGTCCCGTTTGAACGTGCGCGCGCGTCTTCTCACGCCAGCCGCGCGGTGTATCGAAGTTCGATCGCAATTATACGCGCGGCTAAAACTATTTCGTAAATGCAAAGTTGCACTTTCCGCGTAAGTCCCCCAGGTAGGAGAACAGCCGAAGTTTACGAGATGAATGCAAAACGCGCAATGTGTCTACTTTATAGTGTTTTTCTCCTTTCGTCCCGAAACTCTCCGGCGGCGCGGCCGCCCATCCTTCTTCGCTCGATACAGGGAGGGGAGGGCGGGATTCGCGTGAGGAGAAAGAGAAAGAGGGACGGAAAGAAAAAGAGAGATATATATCCCGCAGTAAAATAAAATTCTGCCTACGCCACTGTTTCGGATATTACGGCAGATATTTCAAACGAACGGGCACAATGGATCACCGCGCGTAACCCCGCACGTAGCTCATCGCCGTATTTATAATTCAGCCGTCTGAAGTGGCAATAATGGCGGGTGCCGTCGATACTTAATATCGCCACGCTGCGAAACCCGACACAGTAATGGAGTATATTATTTTATTTTACGATACGAGCGATACGACGCGGTGCGGCGCGCTCACTCGATCTCGAAGATATCGATATTACGAGGCTTCCCCGACGTGCGCGCCCGGTCCGATTTTAATAAATTCCGGCTTTGCGCGGCAAAACGATATATACATCAGGAAGCGTCTCCTTAGATCGGTCTTGGTTTATTACACACTGTCTTATCGTCTTCGTTCTTTATTTCGATGACTTATATTACGTACGCGGTAAATGTAACCGGATTCCTCTTCCAATAGAAAAAAAAAAAAAAAAAAAAAAAACTAATCGAAGAATTATTTCTCCAGAGAAAACGTGATATAAATAAATACATGTATCGCGTCTCTCTCTTTCGGTTGAGAAATGAAATTTATAGAGTACGAAAAGTCTCTGAGTCAGCTGTCAATTTGATGGAAAATAGAATGGATGTACAAGAGGGAGGAGAGGGGGTGGAGCAATAAATCCCGACGAAGAGTACGGCTCTATTTTTATCGAGCCATGTTATAGCGAGACCTAGAAAGAGATTCGATGGGTTCGTTCTCTCTCTCCCTGTCCTGACAGTCATTTCCTTTTCTTTCAGGAAGGTATCGGTTCGCTAAAAGTGGTGCCTGGGGGAATCGAGCTGAGAGGTCAAGCTGCCGTGTTAGACGCTCTCGTGGCCTCCAGCTTGAGATCTCGAAGAGGCAAAAACCTGGTGCTAGAATCGTGGAGTAATTTTACGGCATCCGCGCGATCCCACGACGGACGGCTCCTGGCGCGATTAACAGTCGGTAAGTCCATACTTAAAGGTAGTGTTTAAGCGCAACAGTCTGCGTTTTTTTTTTTTTTTTTTTTTATACAACTCGCGCATCAAGAGATGTAAATTTATATTATCTAAAGAAATATACAAAAAACATATAAACATCTATTAGGAAATATAAAGTAATGCAACAATCGCTTTGATTTTTTTTTTTAATTAAACATAAGTTTAAGCGCGCACTCGGTTGGATTCTGCTTTCAGGAGAGGATCGGGTCGACTGCGTGTCCCGGAGCTTCCGAATAACAGATCCTCAAGGAGGATTGCTCTTCTCCGCGGACAAAAAACAGGTTATCGTCGGGGCGGAAATATTGAGGGTGACCGGTGACGGAGGTGCAGTTTTTCAGGGTAGCGTGCAGACTCCGATAGTGAGGGGAGAATCGGGTCGCGGTCTCAGGTATAAAAATTATATATATTCACGAATATTATTCTTCGATGAGAGAAAAACAGGGATCGCACATTTTTGTGAATTAGATTTTTCTAGCAAATTACAATCTGATTATTTGTGTGCATATTGTTATTTTCATGTGATTGCGCATATTATTTATACAATCTCTAAATGTTATTCTGTTCAAATAACACAATGCAATTACACAACTATTTGCGATCGTAAATATTCATTGTACGAATCTCGACTGCATGAAAATGCATGTACTCCGTTCGCACACATAATTAATACTGCGGCAAGTAGCGATTACCAAAATATAGTCCGACAGCTATGTATGGAGTTTAACGGACCGAGGTCAAATAGCGTTTTAAATCGGACAGCGTTTTAAGTCGCAAAAATAGTTCAGTCCGTCAGTGCGCGCGCGCGCGTGTACACATACACTGCACATTCTGTTCGGGAAAAATCATAAATTTCATAGGTCGTTGCGCGAATATATTTTAGGAACGCGGCGCGTTGGCTAATAATAAACGATATGAGACGCCGATCGATCCTTCTTTGTTCGTATAATACGACCGAATAATATCGCATTGTAGTGACGTTTCGTCTCTTCGCAAAAGAAGTCGTTTCCTCGTCGGAAATGGCCGACTTCTCTCTCTCTCTCTTTCCACCGATCGTTCCATCCAAGCGAGCTCTGCCACGGTTCTCTTTAAAAACCCTCTCACTCCGCGCCGTCGTCCTTTCGTCTTCATGTCACCTCGCGGTGTATTACGAAGAGATCGAGATTCTTGCGAACGCCGTGGCGACCAAAGACGGAAGAGAGAAGACAGAACAACGGGCGGAAAGGTAGCGAGGGAGGGGGGGGAGGAAAAGAAGAAGGGGAGGCGCAGAAGGAACGGAGTTGTACCGCCACATCGCGGTTATTGATAGCGCCGGGCAATTTACGGACGGATTTACGATTACAATAAAACTTTGCTCGCGCGGAAAATTATATTCATAGGATTGGATTTGCGCCAGATATGAAATACCGCGGATCCTACGTTCTCGAAGAGGCAGGCATGGGACGAGAGGAGAGAGGGCAGAGAGAAGGGAGGAGGGTGGAAGACTGTGGCGGAATAAGGTGGCGGAGAGTGCGGCAAAAGCGAGCGGGATGGCGGGACGAAATCTGTGGACCACCGCCACCATCTCCGCGCGCGCGGAAGCGAGAATCGATTATTGCGCGCGAGTTCGACTTCGGGGGCCACGAGAGTCAATACAGATATTACCTCCGTTGCCAGAATACTTGGATATAATACGATGGTTTACGGGCACATCAGAGATTTACGGTGTAATCCGCGTCATTGTTGGAACGTAATGCAGTGAAATTGAGGTGTACGAGTATATACGCGCCACCGCGGCTCATCGGGCAATGTTTATAAACGCGGTTTATCCGTGTTTTGCTCTCAATCGCGTTACCAAAAACACACACGGTTACATCGTGTCGCGCGCGCGAGCGTAAAATTTGAAATTTAACTATGCAAGATCGGAGTTAAAACCGAATGTTCGCGCAAACAAATGAAATGTTTACATATTTTTTTTATTTCTGAAATTAATTGTTTTTTACATAACTTTTGTGTATATAATTTCACTTGCTTAAAAATTATAGATTTCTAAGTCTCAAACTTGTACAAAAAACGGATAAGTAATTATTGTATAACGTTCGCAAAAACAAGTAATTACATGGCGATGTGTTTTATGTTTTTTTTTTTTGTTATTACGCCGCAGGCTCGAGTCAGCCACGAGATCGTTGAAGATCGCCGCTCCTCAGCAAGTGGTGATCGAGTCATGGGCGAATGAGATCTCGGCGACCTGTCTGACCGACATGAACCTGCACAGCGCTCACGGGGCCATCAGGCTCGACGCCAAGTCCGTCTACATGAAGGGTCTGAAGACGGCGATCCCGGTGCAAGGGCACTCGTCCAGGGAGCAGCAGCAGCACACGGGCAGATCGTCCTCGTCCGCTCATCAGAGTCAGAGGGAGACCAGCATCTATCAACTGTGTGCGTGTGCGAGCGGCAAACTGTTTCTCGCAAGGCCCGAGGGTAGTTGTCAGGCCGACAAGTCGATTTGCTAATATGACACAACTCGGGTTGGAGTGTATCGCGACGATGTATCGCGATTAAATATTTGTTTAGGCAATCGTGACGAACATTACTGTGGTGACGAGTCGCGGTGATTAGCGATAAGAAAGAGAGGAAAGGAAGAGAAGACCGTGCCGCGATCGGCGCGATCGGGGACGAGGCCTTTCATGGAACACTACAAATATGATATCAAACGAAAAAAAAAAATCCACCGCGCCGAACGAGGGCGAGGACGTCGAGCGCGCGACGTGCGTCAGGATATTACTCGCGACGCCTCGTGACGAGAGGAAAACACTGTCGACGTAGCCTAAGGTAAATTGATTGTTCTCGACGCGCGTTATTTTTTCGACAAAATGCGGTGAGCGGCCGATAAAGCTTTTAGTGAGGCTTTTCAAGTGCTACGCGTTATATTTGAGAATCTATATTTGGGAGTCTGATCTGGTTGCCAAACGAGCGGCGTCTGTGTGAATTAATTAAACGGAATTGCGTTTTGGTTGCGCCACGGTGTCTCTCATGGTGTTTTTTTTTTTTTTTTTTATTTACGATTCAGTCAAGGTTCAGTCGAGTTTTCGCGTAAGAAAATAATCGAAAGTTAATCTTGTGTTTATAAAGCATCAGTTCTCTCTCTTGAGAATGTTCTTGAAGAACCATCCGGCCGCGCATCTGAGAGATATGCGCGAATAAACGCGCGCGTCAAGCGGAGAACGCGGGTTCTGTTGTGTTGCGCGCGTACATACATAAAGAAAAATTCTCGCGAGATCCTAACCACCGACCGGAAAAATTCCCTCGGATTCGCGGGCATTCGGAAAATTCCCTCTTCAGAAGAATATATCCTCGGAGCGACATATTCAGCGGAGTCTTCCCTTTCAACTTTTTCTCCCGCGCCGCGCCGTTGGTCAGCGTGACGCATGGAAAAGAAGAAAGGGCGATTCTCGCTAAAGTTCCTCGTGTGCATGTGTGTGTTCGTGTGTGTTGGTGTGTGTGTTGTGTGGTGGTGTCATACTAGCGCGATGTTTTCCTCGGCGTTCCGAGGCAGGCGCCGCTCGCTTGTTTGGCGGATTCGGCTCAAACTTGTACATTTTCCCCGACGGTGTGTCGGAGGATCCTCCCAGGAGCGTCCATCGGGAATTCGCCGACCAACAGGGACCGGATTTCTGTGGTGTACTGCGAACAAGATCGTACAGTTAGTTTCCAAAATATGCGGCGTCGATAACACACAAATATATTCAAGAGCAAACCAAAAACGTTATTTATTGCAAAAACAAAAAAACAGAAATTTACATTACTCGCGCAAGTGAAAACTAACTGTATGTAAACTGTATGTATACGCTGACACACTCGTCGTCGACGCTGCACCGCGCGCGGTGCGCATCTCAAAGGACCGAATTCTCATCTCCGCTCGTTTGGCGCTGAACGTTTGGCGCTGCAAACTTCTTCTTCGTATTTTAAGTTTGAAACGAGATTGTGTAAAAAGAGATATGCAAAAACTCGGGCGACTGCGTTTGGCGCTAAATACATACGAGACGCAGACGCGACGTTGACACTGTGCTAATAAATAGACAGATTAAAAAAAAAAAAGAAAACAAAAAAAAACAAAAAAGGAGATACGAATCTGAGACGTTGTCGCGCACAGATGAAACGCTTCGTCGAGCGCGGTGCCCGATACAAATCGAATAAAAGATCCTCGATACTCCTCGCTTTACGTTTTCGTTCCCATCCCATGTTGTAGCACCTTTGCCGCGCATCCTTCGTTCGATACTTTCTAGTACTTCGTACCCTGTACACGCCTTGCGTGGGCGTAAAACCACTTGTAGGCAAAATCGTCGGTAGCTCCCGCGAGTCCGCACACACGGGAGATCGCGCGGGGGAGATCCTTTCAGGGTGATTACTCCTCGCAAATCGCTTACTTCTAAACGCGGTGTCTGTTTACCCTCACCCTTCCTCCTCTCCCCCGTGCCCCGATACAAAAAAAAAAAAAAAGTAGAAGCGTTGTTGTAAGTAGAGCGACGGCTGCATCGGGCTGCGCGTGATGTCGCCCGTTAAGGGAGAGAAAGGGAGAGAAAGAGAGAAAGAAAGTTCAGTGTGAGAGAGCGCGAGGCGTGTGAGAATGCGAACGAACGTAGTTTGACGCAACCGGATCGGATTGCGATCCAGCTTGTACGCTGTACATCGGCCATGTCCAGTTATTTATGTATGTGGCAATAAAGTCGTTATTGTTACTATTATTATTAAACAATTGTACTTTTCATTACTGAACGCATCGTATCGCGTCTCTCATCGATTTTACATTGCCGTTACATTGCCGGAGAGGAAGTCATCGCTTTTGTTCGCGCGCAGTGAATCGATATCGAAAAGTTTTACTTTGAGAGAGAAAAGTTCTGAATATTTCTAAGAATTCCCTTACCATCTCTTCGCAGCGAAGATAGCGCAATCACTGAGGGAGAATTCATCGTTGTTGAAATAAACAAAAACTTGGTCGTAAATAAACAACATTTTTGTTCGGCGTTGTCGATCCATTAGCCTTTACCATTATTTCTTCAATCGACGTGGATGTGATCCCTTTTGTTACGAGGACACGCGATTCCCCGCGCATCGTTACAGGTAGGTGGGCATTTGTTTTTCGCCATAATGTTATTTATATATATATATATATATATACATGTATCTACATATAACAACCATACGAATGATATATACGAACGTACGCATCGCGTTCTAGCGGCCAATTATAACTCGTGTAACTAACAACTGCCGTGGGTTTTGTTTCGTCCGACAAAAGCGGAAAGTTTTCGTGGTTTACAATAATATACGCGCACATACAATTAAAAAATTTAACATCGGGAAATACAACCTCCACGCGCGGTCCGTCCGATCGCCGCCCCTATTTGTTTGCGAAAGTGTGTTTGAAGCCGCGGCTCTCTAAAATTCATCCTTTTCCCCCGTTAAAACGCTCTCAGCGCATGGTGGCTGCGCGCGGTTGTGCGAAAGGAAAATAGAAATTTAAATTAGAGAATAATCTCAAGACTAGTTCGAACAGCCAGCTGCATAATATAGTATATGTCAAGCTGGCTGACAGGTAACAGAGGCAATCTCATCTAGTACCCCCTTAAACAGCTCTGACGGCAAGGTAATTTTCTTGGAATTCGGGATTAAAATTGCATCCAACGGCGGCGGGGATAAAGCTGCTCCGGCGAATAAAGAGGAGGGTGAAGGACGGGGGTGCTGTCGAGCGAGAGTCGGAGCGCTTGCAGCCAATAGGCTGATGCGTATTAGAAACGTCGAGGTGAAAAAAAAAACTCTGAATGACTACGACCGCGTTGATTCTTTTAAGCAGAAGAAACAAAAAAAAACCGAGAGAAAATCCAAGAGAAAAAGACATTGGTTGTGAAACATTGTAGCGCGTTTTATTTTAAGAGAGTCATATTTTCTTTTTAAAATATTCAATTTTTTTTCTTAATTGCGCACGGCAGAAAATCTTTAAATACTTTATCAAGTTTTATGAGAGAGGAATTATCCTGATTTTTTAATAAATATATTTTAATAAAACAAGTAGATAAAAAAAAACTAGAAATTTTTGCTGTGAAAAATCAAACGATACGTAAATTAATTCGATACAGAAAAATGGTAAAAGATTTTAGAATATAAAGGAATACGCTAGAAATTGTTTCAAGAAAAGAGAATATATAATATATATAGAGAATCCTAGAGAGAGAGAGAGAGAAAGAGAGAGAAGATGGAGAGGATCCCTCGTACATCTACCGTCCAGACGAGAGTTCCTGTTCATTCATTATACAGAAGATGAGAGAAGTACTTATCTAAGTGACTGCTACCGCCGGTACTCGTACGTACTTGAGGAACTTGAGTGCGCACGGCCGTGCGATATAGATGAATAGTAACCACGCGGGAGCAACGGCGGCAGCGATCCCGCCGGATGCAGGATGGCTTCTGTGAACCGTGAAATTGTTGCACTGGCTCGTCCGATAAAGCTTTAAATACGAATTAGCGGCACCCTCGTGTGCGCAGCGTTCGCTGGCACACGCGTACGTGTACACACACACACACACACACACACGCGCAAAAACGCGATCGCGCCTCTCTTGTCGGACGGAAATAATCTGCTCCACATTCCCGCGAGATAGATAAATAACACGCGACACGACGTGCTCTCGTAATACGCTGCTAATTTGCGTCGCGTGATAGCAACTTTAACTTATACACACGCACGTGTTCGTGTTTTTGTTTTGCGTTAAAAAAAAAAAAAGAAAAACAAAAAAAGAGACAAAACCAGACATGCGGCGCGCGTCTTCGGACGTTAATGTCGTGTGTGCATGTTGTGCGTTGCGTCGACGAATGTCACGCGACACGAGTAAGATATGACTCCCGAGTATCACCGCGTGATAGTCGCTTTTGAGGAGGTACTCACGCGTCGTAGTGAAGATCGATCGATTGCGATCCGTCAATTTCCACGCGCCGGAGAGCTTATTACTCGCGTCTCAGGTATAGTACAAGACCCGTGTCGGGAAGGAATGGTCGCGGACATAGTAAACTCGGGAGCGACTCCGAAATACGGAGAGAGGTACGTACGTAACGTCGGCGGCCGTAAATCTAATGATTTACACCGGCTATATAGAGGAAGACAAACGGGATCTATACCCCACCCGCGCCAAGTATACGGACTTACGACGCGACTAGAGTAAACATTCATGAATCTTCGCGGGGGAATAACTCGATGGCGTTTTGCTTCGACATGTCCAATCTCCGAGCACGCCTTAATCCCCTTTGGCCAGGTCGACCCTTTCCTTCTCCCTTTCCGATCGAATGAGTCTCTCGCGCGCAAATAATGTTTCTCGCCGATTCAGCAGTTCCCGTCTGTCTCTCGCGTCCTTTCTCCGTCACTTTTTCCCCGTTACATCTCTTTACATCGTGTCTTGGAACAGACAGTTGTTATAGCGAGTAAATATATATATATATATATATACTTAGTCAACCGCGAATAATTCAGTTCAAGCCGAGAGTTTATTACGGGTGATTCTACAGATGCGATTGCGCGCGTTACAACCGCTGGTGGGATTCTCGGGTGATGGTAGCGACCCAGGCCAGGTTGGCACATTAATTTCCAGGGAGCTTAGCTCGATGCGATCAAAGGCTTTCCACTGTCGGCATAAAAGATTGCGTTGGTAATCTGTTGTGAGGGTTGTTTATCGATCACACTACGCGTGTTGCCGGAAAAAAAAAAACACTTTCAGCACGATCTCGCGAGTGTTAACAATAATATTTGTTATTACACTTGTCATCTCCCGCTTATCGATTCGACTGGCAGCAATTTTCCCGGTGGCGGGAAAATTTGTTCTCTCCGTCGTCGCAACATCGCAAAGTCGGAAGCGCGACGTTCCTGGGTTGCGGTCTCGGTGAATGAAGGGCGAACACGACTCCGTGTAGGATGGATTTTCCAAGACGCTCGAGAAGCAGAGTAATTTATCCATTTGGCAGTTTTGATCGGGGGAAACGAGGAACTCCCGAGGCACACGGAATGTCCCAAACTCCGATTTCGCACGATCTATATGTGCTCGCGGTTGCAAAGCGAAGGGTTGCTGTCGCGAGGTTATTCGACGAAAACGTTTACTTGCGAAACAGCAACGTGTTACACGCTAATTTCCATCCATCCCTCCCATTAATCTCTTTCCGCGCAATACGCTTTTAAGAAAACTTCAACACGGAATTAACATTCAATTTACAAATTGTCACGATACATTTTTCTTTCCGAGGTAATTTACGGAGGGAAGAGGTTTGTTAACATTACAATCCGATGTAAAACAATTTGTATTGCACAATTACTCGTTATGTAGTTGCGAATTCGAAGATTATTACTTTCCCTGCTATTTATCACGTGACGTCACGAATATCGCCACGTTAGTCAGCAGATAAGGACTGGAAGAGCAAGTTAATATTCGCGACTGCCTGTTTCCCGAAACGGCTGACCCGCTCGCACTCTCACGTTGTCGCCGTGTGTGGAAGAGGCGTCCGGAAAGTGGCAGGAAGGCGTGCATACGACGATGGGGGGTAAACGAGGGATGCCGTAATGGCGGCTAAATTCCTGCAACGGCCGGATGCAATTTAATGCCAGTCGTCGTGGCGCTATCATCGCCTCGCTGATGCAATATCTTTCGAGTTTCCGGCGTCTAGTTAGTGCGGAACGAGCTGTTGATAAATCTCTCCCACCTCCAAGCTTCTCCGCCTACTTTGTCCCCCTTCGCCCCCTTCCCAGCCCCTCTCGTCATCCGATTCCTCGCCGCGCGGTATGTGGAGGCCATTTCTCCGGAACAGAATTACATCCCCCAAATTGTAATTTTGTCGGGTACCGCTCTACAGCAGCACTCGCATTATTTCCCCCTGCAATTTCCCTCTCTCTTTCGCCCGCGAGAGTTCCGCTTCTCACCCTTTCGGGGCCCCCAAGTAGGAGCTAACTTGTCGTCTTGAGCGGCGTCGTGTTCCCGGCACGTGTCTTTGCGAGCGAGCATCGATTTCCGGTTAATATTCAACCCGGAAGTTTGGAATCGCGGAAGTGTTGACAGACACGCGTAATCATTGGGACAATTAAATTCCATAACGTGCGTCTCTAACGAGACGAGAATTACGAGAAAAGATTGATTGATGGATAGTTTTTTTTTTCGCTCGATATCACAGATTGTAAGTAATCACGCAGCGCGATAAAATAGTAAACGTAAGGATACAGCGAGTCGGGTACAACATCTCGATAGCACCATCGAACTGTGGCTGATATCGCGCGAAACAAATTGCAGCGGACAGAGAGAAAAATTTCGCGATATTTTCGTGCGCCGCACAATTTTGCTCGAAACCGAGAGAGAGAAAATCTCTCCTTTATATCTGATTTTTTTTTTTTTTTTTTTGAAAAAATCTTTACACACACGCGAGTGAAGGAGAGTTTTACGGGAGAGATTTCACGGTGTGGTGAAAATTTAAAAGGGTAATTGATCGCGGCGCGATAACAATTATCCTTTAGATAACATGAGTTATTTTTCATCAGGAACACACGGAGGTGGGGAAGAAAAAGACGTGGGACGCGACGGTTTCTCGCGCGCGCATGCGAATCGAGATGTTGGCGCGCGCGCGAGAAACTTTAGGAGGATCGGCAAGATTAAACTGATCTTTGAGCATCAGCGACGGGCGGAAACTTTAACG